TACATATTTCAGATCCTAAACTGTAGCCAGGATGCAGCATTCAGCAGCCTTAAAAATTTAAGCAAGCTGAGTTTCACAAGTTTTACCTCTTCCCTGAAGCCAACCCTAATCATCAGGGGTCGGAAACTGTTGTCAGCAACTGGGAGGCAGTGACGTAGTGGCGGGAGCTATGGAGTCAAATTCAGACACTGGCTGAGTGAACTCTGGCAAGTTCCTTCAGGTTCCTGAGCCTCAGTTTCCTTTGTTTAAAATAAACAGCAAAAAGGCTTGCATATGTGGGTTGGTGGGTAGGCTTTAAATCATACGATGCATTGGAAAACCTACCTCTCTCCCTGCTGAGCCCCTCCAATTTCTTTCTTCCTTTTTTTTGATCTCGCTGACTGATTTCGTCAATCTGTCTTCACCAAGGGCTACGTGCTTTTAGAGAGCACAAACAAGAGCGGTGGGAAATGAGAACTAGTTTTGGAGGAGAAAGGTGATCCAGGACAGGAAGAGAAACTCTAAAACAAATAGATGCCTCCGAAAACTGTTGTTTTCTTTTTTAAGATTGAAATGATTAAGCCGCCGTTAACCAAATAGAGTCCTAACTAACCTTTGTAAGCACACACTGTGCTTTGGGGCAGATGTGTCTGGTGTAAATCTGATTGCCAGCACAGAAGGACGGATGACTGAAATGGTTCCACGTGAAGTTATTTTTGTTGAAACTTACTCATTTGAACTAATCATTAAAACTGTTGAGAGAGAGAGAGAATGATTTCTTACCATGTTTTAACTCCAACAGGTATCATATTTACATTTGTAGACTTGGAACTCTCTCCTCTGAAAAGATACCATTTGGCTTGGTGAGCTCCTCCAATTTCTGAGTGCACAGCTCTTGTGAGACAGTCCAGATGGGCTTATGGGTGTTTCTATGTACACGCCCCACCTTTATGAGACTGAGATCTAGGCAGGAGCTGTGTCTGGGTCATTTTGGCAAATCTACACAGACTAGCACAGTGCCTGGCAAAAAGAGGGCACTCTAAAGTTCCTGCTGAATGAATACGTTGTCTACTCGATTCCACTCTGAAACAATTAAGAAATGACTGCTTTCTGCTTCTTGGGCCTGGGCTGTGGTGGTGGTGCCACCACTGGAGAGTATATGGCTATGGTGGTTGGGGTCAGGCACTGGCCTTACGGATGAGAGGCAGCCTCCAGACTCCACCAGCTGCTGGCTGAGGAACCAGAGCAAGTCACTCATCATCTCTGGGCCTCAGTTTTGCCCTCTGTAAAATGGGGAAAAATCTGTATCTATCTCATGGGGTTGTTGTGAAACTTAAATGACTTAATCAACATGATTAGAAGAATGCTGAGCACGTAGCATGTACCAATAAACAAAACTCTTACTACTAGTAGTCCTGGGATAGTCCATTTGACCACACGTCAAGGCAGACATCTGCCAATGTCTTGTTCAGTATGTTGACTCATTTTTAGGAAAGGAGGAATTCATTTTTCAGCAGCTTACTGTGACAGGTCTCTCAATGGGATGGCTCAAAAATTGTTTACAGCCAGAAACTGAATCAAGACTACAGCATTCAAAGGCTGGGAAGGATTCCTTATCTTTGCATCTAACCTCAGGGCTGAGGTAAGCCTTGCAAAACTTAGAGCAGAGGGACAGGTGGGAGGAGATGCTTTACTCCTGCAGAGACAATCCAGTCCTAGAGTCGGCCCTCAGCTGCTTGTCGAAGTTCCTCTCTCTCTTGTGCACATCACGTAACGCTTTTTATAAAGTGAAAACCGTGACTTATTCTCAGGATTATTATATATTATTATAACTGAACTCAAGTGCAGGTTTCTAAATAAATATGTTTAAATAAGAGTATTATTAAATATTTATGAATTTCAAGAGACCCACGTATTTGGTTCATAAAAGCTATAAAGTAACTTGGAGAGATATTCCCCACACCACCCCTAAATCGAAAGGTCCTTTAAGGGGTGCCTGCATCCAGGACTTGGGAGAGCTTTCAGTGTGTAAGCTGCAGCCCCTTTCTCAATGCAATGGGCCCGTGCTGTATCAGGGAGCCATTAGGGATATCTCATGCTGCCAGGTGTTGAATAGGTACTTGTGGCATTTGCCATAAACAAACATAAAACGGGGTTCCTGGATGTTCCTAGTTTTTTGGGGACACAGCTAGTTCCTATGTCTCTGAATTGTCTGATGTTAATTCAAAAGCCACCTTCAAAAACTCTGGGCACCCTCCCTTCTCACCCCCCAGGGGCATCAACCAGAAATGGGGAATTTCTGTCATAAACAGAGGCAGAGACAGCAGTGGGAAGAGTGAGGGTCTGGGAGTCAAACTGAGCCCGCTGGCTGGGGAATGTGGGCAAGGTCCTTGATTTCCAGGGGAACTAGGTGAGAGCACGTGTGGCTGGAGCACCTGGCTCAGCTTCTGCTCCTCGGGAGCCCCTTCCTTTACCCTTCCATCCTTCCTTCCTCCTCCCCAGAGGTTCTCTTTGTGGTTTTAGAGTTCCCTCCTCCATTTCGGTTTCCTCTGGGCCTCAGGGGAGATCAGGCACGGTAACCAGCCCTCCCAGCTGGGCCTTTTCAACTGCTGGTGGTGATGTTACAGCTGAACACGTGGAGGTTCCTGGAGGCTCCATAAGCCTTCCCGCATCCCTCACCCTATGTGTCTCTTCACTTGTGTCCTTTGTAATATCCTTTATAATAAACCAGTAAACGGAAGTACGTGTTTCCCTGAATTCTGTCTGCTGCTGAAGCAAATTAATGGAACCCAAGAAAGGGGTGGTGGGAACCCTGATTTATAACTGGCTGGTCAGAATTTCCAGAAGCCTGGACTTGCAACTGGCATCTGAAGCGGAGAGGAGTCTTGGGGGCTGAGTTCTCACCCTGTGGGATCTGACACTTTCTCCAGGTGGATAGTGTTGGAATTGAATTGGAGGACACCCTGCTGGTGTCCCTGGAGAAGTGCTAGTGGAGAGAAATCCCCACACATTTGGTCACAGAAGTTGGTCTTCTGTGTCGATGATTGTGTTGTGAGACCAGAGGAGAGACAGGGTGTGTTTTTCCCGTTCACTGTCACATCCTCCTATGAGCTGTGAATGTCCCCATCACACCACACACCACACTGGCTGCAGAAGCAAAGTGCACTTTCCTTCCTCTCTGCCTGACAGCTCCCCATGAATGGGGACTGTGGCATCTGTCTTCTAGTTGTTTCTAGTGCCCAGCACAGCAGCCGGCACACAGTAGGTGCTCAGAATGTATTAGTGAAGTGGCTGCAGAAGCAAAGTGCACTTTCCTTCCTCTCTGCCTGACAGCTCCCCATGAATGGGGACTGTGGCATCTGTCTTCACGTTGTTTCTAGTGCCCAGCACAGCAGCCGGCACACAGTAGGTGCTCAGAATGTATTAGTGAATGGAACTGAACCCTATTGTCTACTCTGGGGTAGGAGGAAAAAGCAACCATGGAGATTTGTGTCATGGACCAGAAGACAGGACAGGCTAGGAGCATCCTGGCGGACAAAAAAAATTACCGCTTCATTTCAACAAGGGAGCTACGGGCTATGCTGCTCGGGTCGTCTAAGAAGGCAGGAACATGACCAGAGGGAGGAATAAACTGAGGTAGCCAGATGGAGGTGGGTGGCTGGTGCTGTTGGTGACCTTGGTACACTTCTAGCCCCCTCCCCTCTGAGCACTTCCTCCTGAAAACTGGGAAGAGAAGGAAGCCTTGCTGGCATTCTGGGACTGGCTGCTCATTACATCGCTCTTTTAATAGCTGACGGAACTGGCTAAAATGAGGTTTCTAAAAGATTTCATTGATTTGCCAGGTGCCTCAATTCATCACCCAACAAATGAATTAATGAATGACAAGGCCAGCCAAAGTTGTTCGAGTTCATTAATACAGAGGTGTGGTAATTTCCAGGGCTCCCTTTGGGACCTTATTACTCATTCTGGAGGTTCTTACCTTTATGTCATTTTTAAAGACGACTTGGGGGCCCCCTTCTATTGCCTTTTAAGCGACCTCTGGAGAAGCCCACGTGGGCAAATCGTACATCTCCCTCCTTGTTCCAAGCTGCCCTTGTAATACTTCTGAAAAGGTGGCCCTTTCCCTCCCGTACGCCTCCCATCAACCACTGCCCCCTTTTCTAAATTCACCACCAAGCGAGCTGCTGTGCTCCTGGACTTGATTTCCACGACCTCTTGTGAAGCGCAAACACCAAGGGCTTCATGGCATGTCCCATTATGTGGATGACATGGCCATTAGTAACCATGGTAACCTCCCTTCCTGGCTTTTGTGGCTCCACAGGCCTAATTTATACCAGTCTCTTCCAGATTTGAAGGGGTTATGGGAACCCAAGCAGGGTGGCACCTTCCTCTAGCCAGGACAAGGCAAAGTATCAAGCACTTTCAATGCCTTTCAGGTTAAAAGAAACCACCTCAAATCTCTATTCAGTAAATTTGGATACTTACTCTTAAAAAAATCCAAAAAGAAAAGGAAAAATAAATAAAAAAAGGAAAAAGATCCTTTTCACTTTTTTTTTTTTTTTTACAGCAGCAAACACACAACACACAGAAGCTGTGTTGCTCTCACAGTCGCAGCTGGACTTAGAATGGACAGGCCCCAAGGGTGGTGTCCAAATAGCCACAGACAGCAGGTCTGTCACCCTCAGCACAGCCTTGCAAATAAGGACGTGAGATCTACCAGCCCATATTTTGCTTCCAGTTTCAAAGAAGGCTTAAAAAGAACCCATCCACGGCAAGAAATAGGTATGTGAGGTAACGCATATGTGAATGAGCCCCAGCGAGTCATTCCACTATGTATACGTATTTCAAAACATCATGATGTGCATCAGAAATATATCCAATTCTTATTTGTCATTTAAAAGAAAGAACCCATCATCTGTGTCACCTTCTCTGTACCCCACGACCTAGATCCATATCTGACGGTGGTGAAAGGGAGGAGAGGAGGCTCTCCCCTGCCGCCCGGGGTGAGCAGGTGGCGTTACCTGGCTAGGCCTGGCCCGCCTCAGCAGCGGTGTCATCGGAGTCGGAATCGGCCAGCTCGGCGTTGCCTTCTGCTGCGGTCTGACTCCAGCCGTCCGACCTGTCCGAGACGGCGTCCTCCTCTCTGACGGTCACCTCCACGTAATCCACAATGCGCGACTCCTCGTTTTCATCGCTGCCCTGGCCGTCCCGGCTGCTGCCCTCTGACCGGTCCGAGGTGGCCTCTGAGGGCTTGGCAGGCAAACAGTCTTTAATTTGCCCGCTGCCCACTTTCACTCGGGAGACCAACTTCTCCAAGTCCTCGTCGCTGAGCTTTTTGGGGTCCTTGTGATATGGCTGACCCACCTCGCTTCCGTGCTTTGGGCTCTCGGCCACAGGTCTTGCTGCTTTTCTTGATGGGGCATCATAGCTGTGATCATCCACCAGCTGCTGCTGCTGGTACTGCTCCAGCCACTTTAAGGTTCCAGTTTTTAGCAAGCATCTGTTCTCCTTGAACCAACGCACAATCTCAGTTCGGACCAGGCCGGTCTTGGCCGCCAACTGGTCATATTCCTGGGGAGTAGGCCACTGGGTTCTTGCAAATGTGCTCCTCAGCAGATGAACCTGTTCTTGACTTTTTGTGATGGCTGGTGAAGGGCTGGGCAGAGAACTAGCTAACTGGGCACCAGAGAGCTGGTCAAGTCGAGACAGAGCACCATTGGGGGCCACCATGTCTGGGCCTGTTTTGCTAGAACCCATGGAATCCAAGACTGCTTGTTCCATGCTGTCCCGCAGCTTCCGCCTCTCTGAGAACCAGGAGTCGATCTCTCTCCTGCTCAGCTTGGTCTCCACCCTTAGCCGATCCAGTTCTGCTTGGGTAGGAAAAGAACTTTTCAAAAAGCTGTCTTCCAGGGTTTTAACCTGACCCTGTGTTTTTTCTTTGAACTTCTGGGGGGCAAAGTCTGGGTAAGCATGGTACGTGCGACCGTGTTGGGAGGCTGCGATGGCCAGCTGGTCTTTGGCAAGGGATTCGCTGGTGATGTGGACGATGCCCCTTTGACATCGATACCGGTGGTCACTGAACCACTTCTTGATCTCGCTCCTGGCGAGGCCGGTCACTTCAATGAGCCGGTAGACCTCAGCATCGTCAGGGAACTGGCTCTGCAGAAAGCTTGCCTTGAGATGGGCTATTTGCTCCTTTGTCTTCTTGCGGTCGCTGGCCGGGGTGAGTGGGGGGTTGGCCATCTTGAGTGGGGGCTCTGGCACCTGGGCGATGTGTGGACGCTTGGGCTCTGGGGCAGCTTGAGGAGTCATCAAAGGTCTCTTCTGGCCGTGGTTGGTCACTCCGGCCACAGCCAGTGTGATGGGGGAGCAAGAGACAGTTGTTGAGCTGCTTGTTACCTGAGTCAGCACCAGGCTGGTCTGGCCGAGGATCTGGCATGGTAGAGCTGTCTGGAGGATGGGCTGCGACATCTTTGTGGGGGCCAACTGGGCAGGCAGCACAGTGATCGTGGGGGGTACTGACTGGATGGTGCCGTTAAACATCTTCTTCCGAGCCTCCTCCACCTCTTCTGGAGACCAGCTGATGCCATGCTTCAAGCGCTGGGTGGCAAACCAGATTCTGATGTGCTCCTCTGGGTGTTTGGAGGCTGCTGTCAGCCAGGACAACTCAGCCTGGGTTGGGTAAGGGAACTTGTTGAAGGAGTTGATCATGGTGGCATTTGTATCCAGGGCAGAGTTATATTTGGTAGTGTTCAGCGGGACAGGGACCTTGGGGACAAGGTTGATATTTGGCGGCAGCTGTACAGAAGGCATGACATGTCCTAACGTGTCTTGGAGGAGCTCCACACCTCCGAGTCGCGAGAGGATTTCAGCTGTGTCCGTCACCAGGCGGGCAGTCCCTTCCACGTGGTTCTCAGGGGTGGCCTCCTCAGGCTTCTTGGGCACCTTCTTGGCATCTGCTTTCGGCTTCCCTGCCTTCATGATGGAGGTTTTACTCATTGAGATCCCAGGATCACTGTCACCACTCCCAGGGCCACTGGTGGTGATGGACACGACATGGTTGGTGGCTTCGATGGACTGCTCTAAGACAGTCTGATTATTGCGCTTGATTAACTTCAGCTTGAAGTTGGTCTCCCCGGGATGGAACTTGGAGTTGTGGTCAGACAAGGAGTCATACTTTTTGGTTGTGAAGTTACATTCGGCACACACGTAGAGGGGATTTAGAATCACATTAGGATGCTGCATGTCAACGTGCTCCGTGAACTCATTCAGGTTCTGCGTGGAGTAAGGGCAGTATTTGCATTCATAACCACCTTGCAGTTTTTTGGACTGGTTTTCCCCTGTAGATCTCACCTCTATCACTTCATTCTCTTTGGAAGAGTTTTCAGGTTCTGCTGCCCAACTGTCCTTGGCCACGTCAGGCTGTGGCGTGCCAATTCCTTTTTCTTTGGCCCTGTCTACCTCCTCGGGCACATCTTGTTCCACCACCTGTGATGTTCGAACCATGCATGGAGTTGTAGATTTTCGTTTGCTGGCCATGCTGCCTGTCTGCATGCAATGGCTTATTTTTGGAGGACAGTAGGGAGGGGGCAGTGAAATTCTTGGAATAAATATGATAAAAGGCTTTTGGCTTTATTCTCCCTCAAATGGCTTTGGCTTCCCTTGAATGATGAAGTCTACTGTTTGAGTTTCCAGAATGATTTCAGTACAGAAAATTGTAACTGCACCAATTGCTAAACACACCAGGTAGAATCATATCTGTGGGACAAGAACAAAGACAGGGTCAGTGTTTCTTCACAATGCAAAAGAAAGTAGCATTTCTTCCTGAGTTATTTCCGTGACCCATCCCAGCTGGAACCCACAGCAAGCACCTATGTGAGCACAGACGGTGTGAGAGTGGGTGCTTATAAACATGAAAGGTCAGATTCTTCTCCTCCCTTCTCTGGGAAGAAAGTAGAAATAAGACCAAGGCGAGCAAACAAGGACGCAGGTCATCATTTCGCGTTTACAGACAAAGGGATACAGAAAAGGAACATAGGTACTGAGGTCTTCTGAAGTGGTGGGTGGGGTGGCGAAGGGGATGCTGCTGGGCTTGCACGCTGCTTCTATTTATGGAATATCACAAGCAAGACACTCACCTGGGGCCAGCAAGTGGAATTCATGTGGGCATTAGAAAATAGATATGAACAGTTTTCTTATCATAGAAGCAAAACCACTACAGAAAATCTAGAAAATAAAGTATAAAGGAGAAAAGAAACCATCACCCCAAATACTGTAGTTCTGTAGTTCCTTCATCTTACTCGAACAGTTCTTCATTTCCCTAAACACTGAACAAAATAATGATTTAAAAACTGGCTGCATATGATTACACTGTGAGGGTGTGCTGTACATAATGTGCACAGCCATTTGACTTTTGTCGGACATTCACTTCTAATTTTTGATTCTCATCAACAAAATGTAGTGAACACCCGTAGTCCTTATTTCTGATAACTGTCTTTGGATGGATGCCTAGAAATGGTTCTCTTGACTCACAAGGCTAAGATTTTGCCTCACTGGCTTTTCCCTTGGCAGTGTTTGGGACGGCGTGACTTACTACCCAGCCTACATGAAATTTTTTTTTTCCTTTTTGTCTTTTTTCGTGACTGG